AGTTGCCCAGCGGCCTACTGTTGGTTGCCACCGTGACAGCTGATCGTTCAGTACTTCGTTAGTCATGGCAACTGAGATGTTGTTGAGGGTCTGAATACAGCATTAGCCACGCTCGATTTACATTATCACTGGTGCTCGCTCCAAAAGGAAGGTTCTGTAGGCAGGCGAACGACGCTGGTCTGGAGGGAAATCCGGTCAAGTTGACCAGGGTTGCATACGGGAAACCAGGTTCGTCATCGGTGCTCCCAGGCGGCACCGTCTTGCTAGTGCATGGAGGTAGTCAGGGGGGTGAGGGAATAGCGAGTGCGGGAGGAAGCTGCACGCTCACAATATTATTTGTCCGGTAGAAGAGTCGAAAAATGCTTCAGTCCGAATAGTTTCTACCGCTGACGGAGTTAAGTATTTGATACTTCCAACCTCTGTTGTCTCCAGCTCACATTATCTGACACCTTCCGCTCACTCTCCCCTCGAAAAATGCTGCTTCAATTCTATACAATTTCTACCTAGGCATACACAATTAGTCGGGCCATCCATAGCTGCTGGTCCCAATCAACGTGATTAGTGCGACCCCACAAGCGACCGGTCGCCTAGATCACGCGTTGACCTTTGACCAACCGTCATGACCAGTCAAGCTAGTCAAAATCGGTCATGGCTTCGGTCATGACCGCGGTCAAAACAACGCTGCGATGGAGTCCCCGTGGTCGTCTGAAGATGCTAGTTCGGCATCCGTCCATAAGTCGATAGGTACCCTGCTGTGCCCATTGCGAGATTCAAGTGAGTTTTGCGTAGCGTCGAAACTCGGGCATGCAACAACAATGGCTGTGGTGAACTGTATCCTCGTCGTAGAGTGGGCGACAGCTTCCTGCGTCCAAGCACGGCCCATGAGTACTCGGAGGACGATCATTTGGGATGCGAGGCACTACAGAGGACCAATCCGTCGTTAGGTTCAACACGCTCTGACCAGGTAGGGGTGCTTACGGTGAACATAACGTAAAACGATGCGAACATGACGCTCATCGGGCTTTGCACCGCGAGAAACACGACGTACACCACGCCGCAGACCGCATACGCCAGCGCGGACTCGACCACCAGCGCGACGGCGTTCGTGTACATATGCGCAGCCTCGTCCCCGAGCGCGGCCCTGGTGTGCCTGGCGAGGAAGAGGATGCGGGCGCAAATGAGCGCAGACACGAGGAGGTTTGACGAGATGGCCACCGAGGTGTACGCGAGCGTATACGGCTGCATCCCACCTAACCATAAGCGCGGTTCGGACCGAACGGCATTGACGAACAAGGTGAGTATCCCGAGCGGGACCGTCGAGAGGTAGAGGAAACACGGGAGGATGATCACCCGGACGTCTGCCCAAACTACGTAACAGCGATAGAGCTTGCCACCATGAGTCAGTGCGCCGAGCACAGAAAAGAGTTGAGATAGAGGACTTACCAGCAGGCCATCGGTCATCAAATTGAGCACGACGGCCGCCGCACTGCCCGCGATCTTGTACCCCATCGGCGCGTTTTTGGCCAGGTACACTGCGGACCCTCCTGAATAGTTCGGATTTGCGATCCACATCCGCCGTCCCAATGAGGCTTCGACGGCGCCCCATATGGTGGTGAGCAGGAGCAAACCAGTGCTGAAGACTAAGAGAAAACGAGTCCCTTGCGAACGCATGGGCTTTGCTCCACGGCGCATAACCATGTGAACGCTGGCGATGTATATCACGAGCTCAATCCCTGCAAAGTGAGTGATGAGGTTAGATCAAGTTCATGCACAGGTGCAAGGCCAGCCTACCGTAGAGCAGGGCGTTGAACAGCGTCCCCAGGTAGTAGGATACCTGAAACACGTAGTCGGCGTGGTCTACATACATCCAAGACGCTTGCCGAAGTAGGCCTAGGTAGTGATAGACGTGCACCGCACGTGAAGAGAGTAGCTGCAGTCCTCCGCTCAGCTCGGAGGTATCCTATGAGTTGTGGGATCACCTGGGCAGGAGAAGAGGGATTCGCGGGCCATCGCTGGGCCTTGAACACGATCCAAGTCTTATTGAGATTGGCGTGGGGTGCGGCTTAGGCGATAGGCGCGCGGTAGCCCGCGAAGCTCATCTCCGTCCAAGTTCTCGACTGAATCTGGAGTCCCGGCGCTTCCGGCATCCTGCCCGACGGAAGCCTGGATACTCCATAGCTGCGACTCTGCAACGAACCTGCTTCTCACCCGTGGCTTCCAGACACTGGTGTTCACTTCATCGAGATGTCCAAGTACTTGGAGAGACCTGACTTTCTCCCGTTACAAACCCTTGGCGGGCTCTCTGAAAATAGCAGGTAGTACCCTGTAGCCAACGATTCATATCGCATTGATCGCTCTCTCGCGTCTCGCTGATGGTCTCCCCAGCCGCCTGCACATACCAAGTGCCACCTGGAACTATCATCTCCAGCAACGCCCGAAGGCGGTTGCTTCTCCGACCGCCTTCCCCCGCTCCCATGCCCGTGGACATTCTTCTCCTTCTCCGCCTCGTCCCACGTACCTCCGACTTTCTGCCCCAGCCCGTTCAAGAGCCTGCGCGAGTTATGTACCGGGTGCCTCCCCTCCTTAGTAACGCGTCTCCCTTCCTCGGCAATGTGCCAGCTCGAGCCCGCCCCTCGCGCGCACAACCCACGGCCGGCCGAGGTTGCCGAAGACCATGCCAAGGACGCACACGAACGTCGCGAGGTACAAAACGAGCAGCTCGAACGGGACGAGCGGCGCTAAGAGCGCGAAGTCTGCCTGCTCGGCGATGTAGTGCAGGACCTTGTCCGGGTCCCCGGGCGGAGCTTCAGCTTCATGTGCACAGCACCCTACGGCATGTTGGAGAGCGAAACGCACCTGGAAGGCGCAGCCCGAAAGATGGACCGACGCAATCGGAGCGTCGCGAAGACCTCACGGAATAACTCGTTCTTGTCTTCGTCGTACGTCACCCTTTCCACATCTATGTGGTACCTGGGCGACACGATCCGGAACCATTGGGAAAGCCCCGCGAGCGTCGGCCGCGAATTCGCCGAACAGTACGATACGTCTTTGGTGTGATATCTGCCCTCATCCAGTACGCAAGCTCATGTGAAGCGCGAGGCCAGGTCGGGGAGAGCGGTACCGGTGAAGAGACCTCTGGATGCTCTCCTTCTGCATCTCTGGCTAAATTATGGATGTCACTAGCGAGAAGACTCCCGCGATGTCCTTCTCCGGATTTTCCATCTTACTTCTAGCGCTGTGTTTGTGAGAAGGGGCAGGGGGGGTAAAGAGAGAAGGCGGGAATTTGGGGTGCGGAATCAGTCGAACTTCACAGGTATGTATGGCGTGCCCTATTGCCCCTGCATCGCACTCCACCCATGCTTGTGATATTGCAGATTCCTTGAGTCTTACGCCTATGTGACGTCGCGCGCGACTTTCTGTGCTCTTTGCTTCAGGCCTCGCCGGCAGCCGCCAGGAACGGATTCAAATTGCGTTGCATTCCCGCACACCAGAACTCATTCTCATGTACGTCACGATAGTGAGCTAATCAGGAGGCGCAGCGCGGCCCGTGTTTCGACGCGTGTACCCTAGAGAGCGCTTGATGTTGTGGGTATACAGTACTCTATGCCGGCATCGAATCGCAGAGGAGCTCTTACCAACTGCGCATACCTATAGTTTCGCGATCGAATTGTGGGGACTCACGCGCGAGGTCGATTTGAGGCACTCACGTCTCAATTGAACGCGAAGTCAGCTATATCAGTGGAACACGGCCCGCCGAGATCACCTGATAGACGGAAGGGGTGTGAAGCATACTCTTGAGCAGGGCAGGTATGCGTTCAGTTGGTACTGGTCACACGTACTTCTGACGTGAGCCGTGCGAGGCTAGTTGCGAGGCTCGAGCGAATGGATTGCGTTGCGTGGGCTTTCTGGACCCCCCTGGGCGCCCTCGTGTGCGACCGTTCGCAAGAGTGTACGTACTGAAGTGGGTGTAAGTATATGATACAACCGCAGTCTAATACATTTGAGCTCGGCGATGCATGAATGGGAGTCGATATCTTGCTTCATCATTCCATCGTACACGATTTCAGTATGCACTGCATCCTCACGAGACGTCAATACCCTAAGATCTCAATACGATCAAGGCAAGAGGTGCTCACCCAATACTCGATCAATGCCAGTAGCCCATCCGGTACCGCTTCTGTTGGGGTGGCGGGACTGCCCGGTCCGGCTTCAGTAGCTTCCGCATGGCCGCCTCGCACAAGGGCATATCGTAGTCGATCAGCGCTCCCCTCACCTTTCCATCTTCGCCTTCCAGCATGACGATCGTGTTCGGGTTGATATCCCCGTGGAGGATCCCTGCGTCGTCGTGCAGCTGTTTGTGCGCTGTGGCGTACGTGAGTGGCAGTTCAAGTGTGCGACGAACGCCGACTTTCCTACTATTGCGCCAAGCATGACCTCCACAAGCTGCATAGAGTGCTTGAATTCGCACAGATCTCGCGGCTTCACCCTCTCCAGGCGACTCGTGGGAGGTTCAGCTTGTGCTGCCCCAGAGCTCTCCGGCGGCGCCGATTCCCCGTTGGTATCTTCTTGAGGTGGCGATGTGGTAGTTTGAGAATCGACGTCCATTTTTGGTTCCGATGTAGACATGACTTGGGGTAGTTGGTTTTCTGCGAGTGGCGACACGGACGATTTGTTGTAACCACAAGCACAGTCGCAAAGAAGTTGGGAATGATGAAGCCGCTCGAGCGCTACATATCATCAATGGCGGGCGGCACCATATTCCCACGCCTTCATTGGATTTATCCATGGGTCTCGCTACCGCCACCGTAGCGTCAGCGAGACCGCCAGGTATTACCCCAAGAATTCCCATACATCATTAATGGCTTTTGCTCGCCGGCCCCTGCTATTTACGTACAACACCTACGCGCGCCACTCTAGAATTCGCTCACTCAGATTTGCAACACCGTTAGGTCGGCCTCGACAGTCACCAATACCTGACTCAAAAGGCAGCACTCACCGGGCCATCGCACCATCGGCACCTCCTCTATCACCCGTCGTCTCTGGTTCTTAACCCACGGCAACGCCTCCTTCACCCGTGCTCGCGCTCCTGGTACCTCCGAGCTTGTCCACTAATAGCAACTTCTAACTCGACGACCGAAAGATAGATGATGAGCTTGCAAAGTACGCAGCGGAGGATGCTTGGTCGAAAGCCGTCCATTGATTCAGTAACGCTGCCCCAGGCTCTAGGTGCGCTGGGACAATTTGCACCTGGCGCAGACCGGAAGGGAGCTGTGCCACGAGTACGGCGTGGCGCTCGAGCAAGACGGTGAGATCCACCACGCTGTCGAGATAAGCAAGGGCCGAGGTGGCGTGAAAACGGCTCCAGGTTAACGTTGCGAAACGGCGCTAAGGGTCAGCTCTGCATGGGTCGCGGCCCACGGAGAAACCCTGCGTACCTGGTGAGATGTGGCGAATATGCGCAGAAAGGAGCTGGTATGGTGTCGAGTCCATAATCAGGAAGGGCCTGATATCAGCTTCCTCAGACTCCGGCGTTGGCCTCGGGAATCCGGCCCAAGAGCGCAAGGTCCTTTGTCCACCACATGTAGAAAACATCGGCTCAACAAGTGTGAATGCATTGTATTCATTTGTGAAGTCCCAAGAAAAGGTTTGAAAAAGTCGATGCAGCAGCCGCCGTAATAGTGGCAAATTGTCGACGATGCTATTTCTCGAAGCTGAAAACAACAAGGCTCGTACAGGAGCAAGCAATGACGAGAAGGGAGATGGGATGGCAATACAAGTGGTAGTAGTACTAAGGGTTATACGGCGAAGTGTGTGTAGGATGAGCGAAGAGATCCAAAAGAGGTCAGGTAAACGGCAAAGGTAGTACTAGGGGGTAATACAAAACGAGGTACTAGCCGAGAGGTCCGTGAATAGTCCGACGTAACTAGTAAGGAGCGATACATAGTTCATGGGAGAATGAGTACTAGTACTACAGCTGATCATGCGAGGAGAGTGGTGTGCAGGGGTATACGGAGTACAAAGAGATATTGATACACGTATTCGACAAAACGAAGGACGCATATTATTGCCCAGGAGAATGAGAGAGGTGGGAATGGGTGTCTCCTGGTCCTTTATCAGCGCGGAAGGCCAGAACGAGAGCAGCGAGGTAGCTTACAGCACATAGGTCTGTATTCAGGACAGCCAGTCCATCTCAAGGACAGGCGCAGTTACCGATGCGGTTGACTGCGCGTTCGTGGTGGTGGGTGCTGACACGGGCGGGAGACCGCCGGGACCTGTCCCCAAGAGGGTCAGTGCCCTTTCGTTGCCCGAAATAGTTGCCATGGACAAACCAAATGTAAACACTGGGTCAGGAGGGACGTCACTTGCTGACGCTGACGACGTGACAAGCACCAAGTTGGACGGCGTTGGCATTGTGCGGGATGGGATGGGGCCAGCCATAGACGCGGGAGTCAGAGCGAGGCACAAGAAGAACGCGACGAGGTTGGTAGTGAGGGGAGCCATGAGTGATATATTCTGAGTCGGTGAGCTCGAAGGTGTATGGAGGTGTTGAGTGGTGAGTCCAGTAGCGGAGCCTACACATCTTTTATACGACCATGCTGCTCTCTGAACAACGACTAACAGAGCATGTCAGTAATTGCTCGACTCACCGTAAGAACGGAACGAGTCATAGAACGTCGCGTCTACGTATCCCGACTACAGCCACACTGCATATTGCGAGGGAGTCGCAGAGCCTCGTGCTTCCCGCATCTCGAAAACGCATAAGCATCCTCGATATGGAAAGTTGGCGAGGTCTGCTTCCGAGCGGTACCGAGCTACAGCGGGATGTGCAAATGTCGGGAAAGCACGAATGCAACGACCAGACGTACCTGTACAGTGCCAGTGCCAGTGACCTCGACTCAGTGCCTTAACTGGACATTGATTGACGTGCGTGCCGGGCGCAAGGCGTCGAACCTGCCTGATTTGGTCCGCGCGATGGACAGCACACTGCTTCCGAGGCGCTGAACCGATTCTTTACTGCGTGGCGGCCTCATACGCTCTGCTACCGCAACACGAGAAGAAACACAGATTTTGACTTGCATAAAGAACAACATACTCATGTATGGTCCAAGTGAACCTGTATGTCCGAGATGGGACCGTCCACCATAGATGAGGATGGTACACAGGCCGTGACGTTAGCTTAGAAACACTGACCTGAGACCTCGACTCTGACACGAAAATGTATACTGACAGCTGTACACGTCACGACTGTGAGCTATATCTCACCCGAAAACCCACTTTGGCAACGGAGACGGTGCTCGAATCGACTCACTAAATCAACTCATACTCATCTCTGCGCGCTGTACAGTTGTCCGCCACGTCTCACATTGTGAAGACGCAAACCGGGTGGCACAGCCGCACAACGCCTTCAGCATGCATACGGCTGCAGCTTACGACGCGGTGCTGACAATGTCACAGAAATATTAATCCACCGGGATCGTATGTGTCGAGAAACTTGAAGGAAAAGCAATACTACCTGAAGTTTTCGAGTGTTGCACTGTAAAACAGATCCGGGTGTCCAAAGTCAATACAGCATTCATGCGGTGTGAGGATCATCAGCGCAGGTAATCAGATACCATAGCAATTCGGGATTATATGCTTGACAGGACATCGGCGACAAGAGTGAATATAGACAGACTCAGAGACCCGTGAAGACGATGTCAAAGAAGCGTAGAAGCTCCAAGATCATATTGAGCTCCCCTGGTAACGACTTGGACTGACGTTGTTGTAGCGACTGTACCCCGTCCGTGGGAAAAAGCGAACGTCAACGACTTTGTGGCAGGCCAAAACAGGCAGCATTGACGCCGTCAATCTTGGCCTACCCAGCCTTGACGCAAGTTGAACAACCCATAGCCGCTTCAGGACCGGTTGGCCTATTCATTGATCGGAGGAAGTAGTGCAAGTTCTATCAGTATGATCCGTCATAACTGACGCTCCGAATACACCTCTGACTCTCGTTTCTCTTTCACGGTGACGTCGGCCAGTCAACTTGAAGCATGCGAGACAAAGTATATGCTACGCAGGCCTCAAGCCGCGGCAGCGGCCAAGTACCCAGAGATTAAAGCCATTGGGAAGAATTACGGGCAAGGATACAGATATGTGGAAGACGGTGATTTCTTGGGAGCCATGAATTGAGGCACCAGCGCTCAGCGTTTCTGGACGAGTTAATGACCTTATCTCAGCTGCAATTGGACGACATGTACAGTGGGCAGCCTAGAGGTCGTGCTGTGTGGATAGGCAGGTACGCACCAAGCCAAGCCCGTCCTGACTTCGAGTCGTGCTCCGCCTGCCTTTGTTGACCTTCCTGCTACCTGGATAGCTTACTCTGGGTGTGCAGACGTACGGGGTACGGTCCACCATTTTCCTCTTCCTGTATAGCTATCCCCGACATTCTCCCGTAAATGTGAGATCTGCCACTCCTTGTGCGAGAAGGTCCTGAGGCCCAACTCCCAGCGGAGGAAGATGGTCCCACATCTCCTAGCACTCGATCTTGTTCGCGATAGAGGCAAAGGAGGTGTCAAAGCTTCCCCGCGTCATATACTGCGATTGCAAGGCTCGCATACGCGCGATCCATTACGAAAGAGGCTCAGACAAAGAGGAGGACCTAAGAGAGCGGGGGTGATAGCGATGAGGAGGTCTGTGGTACTACATCCCTTCCGTCCTAACTCGACAACGTGCAGCGCAAGTTTAGGTTTAGGGATCTTACTCGACCCACATGTCATCTCCATCTAACCCTATGCGGTTTGAGATGCACATCTCGCTTGCCAAATGGCCAACCCGCACCTTGCATCTTTGACGTGCATGGTGACTAGCGAAGGGGAAGGCATGTCTGGCGCAGGAAAAGAAGCGGAAAGCGGAGGAGGCGCAGAAGCATAGCAGGATTTGCGGTGTCCCAGAGTATGGTGACGAGGGAGGGGAAGGATCAGGAAGAGACCCAAGATTCGTTTTTAATGCAGTCCCTACCCGAAGCTGATAGTGAGGTTCATGCGGCGATAGGTAAGGAGGCGGTGGATGTTTGATATGAGTGGTTCCCAATGGTCCATCTTACATGTTGTTCCCCACCTCATGGATGACTAAGAGACCCTTTTCTGAAGTGGCCATCATAATGTCTTGTGCGTTCAGGTGGGATGCATCAGCAAAATGTCATGGTCTTGAATGTGGTCTTGGGGTACTTGGCCAAGTACTCCAAGACCACCAAGTACTCCAAGTACATCAAGACCAATGGACTTGGTCAAGACCGTTGGTCTTGGCCAAGCCGGGTGGGTGGTCTTGGCCAAGACCATTGGTCTTGACCAAGACCACCAAGACCATTCCAAGACCAGAATCAAGACCAGAGCCAAGTACATGCTAGAAGCTCATGCTATAAAAGACTATAGCTCAGTTTTTAGTTGGATCATATCAGACATAGTTAGTCTCTAGCATGGTGATGTACAGCAATACAATGATTAGCGGATATGCGAAGGAAAAAAACACACCAGCTAGGATTGAACCAGCAACCTCTAGCACTACCACATTCAACCACCATTTAGACCACTGCACCATATTGACTTATAGATAGATATGTGCACCATAAATATATGGTGCATTTTGTTGGACTTGGAAAGAATTGTCACTACTCAGTACTGCAACAATGCAGTTTCAAGGCTAGTAGTGTTACCTGCTATGAAGTTAAGGGCCACTAGACTTCTATTGATCACTACTGTACCCTGCAATAGCATATGTAGGGTTGTCATTCTAATATTGTAGTGCTATAATGGAAGTAACATGGTCTTTAAGCATTGAACACTATAGTAGGTCTCATGACCATTCTTATCTTGAACATATACACAATTATGCAGTTTATAAGATCATTACTAGACCATATCCTTATATGATCTAGATACTCTTATATTGATTTAGACAAGTTGACCCTTAACTCTAAGTTGCTTAAGCACTTAAAGACAATAGTCTTCACTCTAAGACCGCGGTCTTAGAGCCAAGTCCATGGTCTTGGCTCCAAGTTCACGGTCTTAGCTCCAAGTTCACGGTCTTGGCTCCAAGTTCATGGTCTTGACCTCAAGACCACCAAGACTGCAGACTTGAGGCTAAGACTATGGTCTTGGCTCTAAGACCGTGGTCTTGGCCCAAGTTCAGATTCAAGACCATGACATTTTGCTGATGTGTCTGAGCGACTGAATCAAGGAAATCTTGTTTGGCTGATCAAGGAACATGTTGAACGGAGGAGCTGAATTCATGGTAGTTGTAGGGATGCGAGGCATTGCGAGCAGTGGGAGCTGGGTACTTATGAGGCCGAGGTTATGTTCATGCATTTCAGGGCTATACCGGGATAGAGCGATCTCCAGCGAGTATGCCAAAGACATGATAATCGCATAATCTCAAAAAGACAGGAAGAGGAACTGATCTACAGCTAGTGTATAACCGTGAGCCTTATATGAAGTGGAGAACAGAATATCTACGGGCAGCAGTTTGCTTCCTGTCCGACAATCAGACATTGTATGCCTGCTTCAGCTGTGTCCTAGGCACTGCACGACACCAACCGAGTCAGGTAATTGAACAGTCCCTTCTTTCTCCTCTGAGTCATTGGTGCTTTCTAATCGATCGTCCTGCGTGCATCTGTAAAAACCACCTTTGCGAATTACACCTATTCAGTACATATTAGCTCTTAATAGACACAGTAGTTGAATAGTGAAAAATAGTGCAAAATCGAGAGGTCCCCAAAAATAATTGCACTATTTTGCACTATTAATGCAAATTCGTGCAAAGTAGCACTATAGTAGACGGAAATAGCGCTACAGTAGACGTTGATAGTAGTGGATAGAGTGGGTCCATAATTTCTGACTAGTGTAGAAATGCTTAATATGACCTCAAAACCATCTGTTTATAAGCCCCAGATGCATTTTAAGTGCTGGAAAGAATATTATAAAAAAGTGTCCTCACCCAGTCTTGAACCCCCAACCCCACTTTCAGATAACACTCCTATTCCGAAGGGGTGCTCTATACCACTGCACCACCAGAGCTTACACAGACCCTCTCCACAAGTACTATATATATCCATCACTGCTGGACTTGGGCAAAGTGGTGACACCTCACCTTGAGATTCACCTGCTGAGGCTTGCATATGTGTAATGTCTGGGACTATGTATATAATATGGAGTGTGCTATAGAGTATGCTTCATGGTCTGAATGCTGTGCTGACAGCCTAGTCCTATACATGATAACAAGTTCCTACCTTGAGTTGTGCCCTCAAATATAAGTCAGCTATCATGGTGATTTTGCAGCTATAGAGGTGTGTAATGCTTGAGTTGAGAACTATGAGCTATAAATAAAGGATTGTCATCTTATCTGAGTCTCCCCTAAATGAGTAGTGCTAAAATAGCGCAAAATAGTACTACAGTAGTGCAAAATAGCGAAAATTAGAGGACCACATTTGCAGTAGTGCTATAGTAGTATCATGTTGGCACTACATGGCACTATAGAAAAAGCGATAGTGAAGAGTAGTTATAACTAGTACCAAGTATACTAATTAGTGCTTAGTTGCACTACTGAAGAAGTGCGTCTGAATAGTAGCTCTAATGTAGATGTCATCTCTGCTAACACTTGCTAATATAGATGAGATTATCTGAATAGTGATAATTAGTGTCAATTTGCAAAGGCTGTTTTTTCAGATGCTCTTCGTACGCTCATTTTAGAGTTGTTTATATATTATCACTACACAGTACAGATAGCGACACGCAAGTATATTGAACAATCTATACTGTAGTACAACATGACACGATGACTATGGCTAGGGGAGACAGAGCTACAGGATAGACTAGGCATCATACTAGGATATGGGTATACCTGCAAGCATTGGCTGATGATGTATATACTAAGTAAGATAGGGTAGGGAGAAGGAGCGGTGAAGGAACAATAGTGCTGAACAGGTATTGTGATGTTAATCTAGTGCTACTGCATGTACTCACTGGAGAACATGGAATCTGTACACAAGCAGAAAGTGTACACGACGTTAAGGGATGGAGGGACTTACGCACATGCAAGCAGAGCACTCAGTTCGTGTAACACCCATAACATGGGGTTCACGGCGACTCATCGGGGCAGGCGGGGAGAGATCAAACGAAATGAACACACCTAAAGCTTTATGAAGTGTGCGCTCCTTGATTCTCATCCACCTACCTGCACTGGATCCCTGGCTTTGCTGCTCCCTCCAGATGATGAACATATGAACATGCCGCGTCATGCAACCTGCCAGATAAGGCCTGTGTACCTCACTAAGGAGGTGTTCACATGCTAGCTTTAAATACTCAGACTATACCAGGAGTAGAGCAGAGACAGAGTAGAGCATAGACGGAGGAGGTGAAAGAGCGAGCTACCGTCTACCGTAACGTGGCAGCTGGGAGAGAAGACTTGTATTTAAACGCCCGTCGAGCTTGCACGTCCAAGCACGAGGGGCATCCAAACGAGTGTCCTTCCGCGTCCAAGTACCGGCGCTCGAAGAGGCAGCCGCCGGAGTGTACACGAGCAGACAACACCTGCAACCTCCCAAATCGGCCACGATTGAACATACATGGACCTCTAGAACAACGAAGTATCTTGAAACGTAGTGAGTCAAGTCGTCGCTCGCTTACATTTGCCGCCTGTCATTTGAGAAAGTGAAGAGCAGATTAGCAGCCATTATCACGGACTACACTAATTTATCTCTGATTAGCGAATGCGGTTTTTCCTGATGGTGTTGTTCATCCAAGTGTACGAGGCGGACATCATACGCGGACCCCAAGCTACGGCAGCCGCCAAGTCGCTGGAGTTCAGAGCAGCTGGGGAGGGTGACCAACCCAGAGATGTGGGAGATGGATTGATACTGTGGGGTTCGTGAGTTGAGCTGCCGGTGTACGACTGGTCTCAACGTTCGGACGGCGCGCCCAGCGATCGGTCTGAAGGCCGTGGTCTGTGGGTGGACAGGTACGCAGCACGCTCAAACTCTTGATCTCGAGCCGTGTTCTGCCTGTGGCTATCACTACATGAATCCTGAGATGGAGAGTTTGGATGTACGAAATGCAGTCTACCGTTTTCTCTCTTCTCGTATACCCATCCCTGATGTTCTCCCGTACAGGTATGATGCGCGACTTCTGCTCGAATCTCTGCCCAATATATCCTCTCAGCCGGAGGCCATCTCAAGGGCCAGTTCCCCAGGAGGGTGGTCTGACCTCCCATCCGACGCTGAGGACACGTTCTTCTTTACCGCAGAAGAGACAGAGGACTACCGGCGTGACAAGCGGCGTCGCGTGATGGACCGTGATCGCGAAGCACACCTCTGAGCCATTCGCGCAGAGGATGGGTCCGACGAGGAGAGAGACCCCAAGGAAAGCTGGGGTGGCAGCGACGAGGAGGTACGTCGTCTCTTCTGCTCGCGTTCTTCTCCTCTTCATCTTCCATCGTGTTGTCAGCCCGACGACGCGCAGCGCAAGTTAATGCGCCGCACCGCGTCCCACATTCTGTCCTCACCCAACCCCGCGCAGCTCGAGATGCGCATCCTCGCGAACCACGGGGCGGACCCGCGCTTCGCGTTCCTGCGCGGACGGTGGTCGTGTGCGTGGCAGCTGGCGAGGGGGAAGGTGCGTCTAGAGCAGGAAGAGGAGAAGAACCGGAGGGCGGCGCAGGCGAAGACGCAGAACCTCATCGGCGGTCTTGCGGGGTATGGTGATAGCGATGAGGGGAGCGAGGCCGCAGAAGAAGAATATCAGGAGGATGTCCGGGAAGCCCCGTTGGAGGGTCGTGGCACGGCAGAGGTGGCTGGGTCCTCGGAGCTGTCACATGAAGTTGACAATGCGGTTAAGGCAGCGAGACGTGCTCGGGCACGAGAATGGGCTGAGAAGCGGCGGGCTGCAAAGGAGGCAGCAGATGCTCGAAACAGCGAGTCTTGACGGTATCCTCACGTGTTTATTAGTCCGTTTAATAATTGATGGAGTACTGATGGAGCGGGTTTTCACTATGTATCTCGTCTACCACTAAACGAACGGCTTCTGTTGCAAGCGTCCTGATTGTAATGTCCATGCCTCCACAGCAACTCGTACGACATGTCACTTTTGCGTAACACCAGGCAAAAGAATTTTCGCCGGCATCGTGCGACTCGAGTACCTCCAGAGTTCTAAAGACTTTCGTGCAGGCCGCCATGCGGTCATTGTGCCCGCAGTGGGATCGAAGGCCAGGTGCGAGGAAGGGAAACGGCACGGGCACGAGTTCCACGTTTGGATGGGAAAGTCGGCGAGACTGCTGCATAAGGCCTAAAGTCTGGTGAGCCGTGTGCAGGAGAACGCCGTGTGCAGGAGAACGCCGTGTGCAGGAGAACGCCGTGTGCAGGAGAACGTGTACATGACTTATTCAATACTGCGAACTTAACGGGACGAATCTTGTCGAGTACTCTAGAATCCGTCGCTCCTGACCACGTTGTCGCCATTTCCAAAGACAAGCACGAAGCTATCTTCCTTCAGCGACGATGGTAGTGTTCTGGATACAACGAAAGGCTCGAACATGCGCTGGCTAGGGTCGAGCGCGCAAGCCAGGGCCGCGGCCTTTGTCCAGTCAGACTCGGTCCGAGAGATCTCGGCATGACAAGGTAATGAGAGGGAAACATGATCACAGAGTAACGTCGTCTCTGGAATGACTCCTCTCAGTCTCTGCGCTTTCTAGGTTCGGAAAGGAAAAAGAGGTAGCCGTTGAAGAAGTTCGAGGGCAAGCGGGCACAAATGGGATTCGCGTTTGGCCGGTGCAAACGCGTGCCGTACATAGTACATACAATAGACCTTATATACACAGTAGAATAGGGGTAGATAAGGGCGCGGGTATCCGTCGGGGGGCGGGACCTGTGGTGCTCGTTCCGCGAGCTCGCCATCTTGATGCCAGGATTCCAACAGCCGTCGCTTTCACGAAGCCGCCAGTTGACTTGCAAGGTCCACAATGTGTATTGAGCGATTATAGCTCCGGACACGCCTTCAGAACGTCGGGTCCCGCTCAGCGTAGCTCCAGCCAAGCTCGCGCAAGTCGTCGTACATGAAGGAAGTCTAGGGTACATGGACACTGGTGAGGCTCATCTTGAGCAGGCCGCGGCAATCATGGGGCGACAATCCTCAGCGGTAGAAGTCCTGTGAGAAGCAACAGGTGAGCGTCATATCTTCTAGAAACACCATCATGTTGGAGGACTCATCAGGAAAAACCGCATTCGCTAATTAGAGATAAATTAGTGTAGTCCTTGATAATGGCTGCTAATCCACTCTTCACCGTCTCTAATAACAGGCGGCAAATGTAAGCGAGCGACGATTTGACTTACTAAGTTTCAGCGTACTTCCTTGTTCTAGAGGTCTATGTATGTTGAGAGGTTGCAGGTGTTGTCCGCTTGTGTGCACTCCGGCAGATGCACGGCTACCTCTTCGAGCGCTCAGGGACTTGGACGCAGAAGGATATTTGGTTAGACGCCTGTCGTGTAAACTCGACGGGCGTTTGAGTGCAAGTCTTGTCTCCCAGCTGCCACATCACAGTAGCTCGCTCTTACTCCTCCGTCTCTGCTCTACTCTGTCTCTGCCCTACTCCGTCTCTGTGATACTCCTGGTATAGTCTGAGTAGGTCAAGGTTGCATGTGAACACCTCCCCAAGTGAGGTACACTGGCCTTATCTGGTAGGTTGCGTGGCGCAGCGTGTTCATATGTTCATTATCCGGAAGGAGCAGCAGTGCAGGTAGGTGGACGCAGATTAAGGAGTGCATACTCCACAAAGCTCTAGGTGTGTTCATTCCGTTTGACCTCTCCCCGCCTGCCCCGTTGAGTCACCGTGAACTCCATGGGTGCAGCACGAACTGGGTGCTCTCCTCATGTGCGCGTAAGTTCCTCCATCCCTTGTCGTGTACACTTCCTGTTCGTGTATCCATGATCTCCAGTGAGGACATGCAGTAGCACTAGATTAACATCACGATGCCTGTTCGGAACTATTGTTCCTTCACCACTCCTTCTCCCTACCCTCTGTTAGTATATACATTAATAGCCTATCCCGGCAGGTATATCCATATCCCAGTAGGATGCCTACTTTGTCCCGTAGATCCGTCTCACCTAGCCATAGTTGTCGTGTCATGTTGTACTAGAGTTGTACTAGAGTATATAAACGCTCAATACAATTGCCTATCGCCATTTGTAATGTGTAATGACAATATATATATATGACACTAAAATGAGTGTACGATTATTGAAATAAGAGCAGCGTAAGAGGGCATTATTGATCCATTTGCGTAGCAGGCTTATGGACATAATGGCCATCTATTCGGCCGCTCATTAGGATGGGACTAAGCTAATGAGACTAATGCCCTAATCGGCCTCATTAGGGGTAATTATCCCTCATTAGCAAGTGCAGTTTTTCCTGATGGATGGGCTCAGTAAAAAGCTGACAGACCGGGTGGCGGACTGCGTGGAAGCGAGACCAAAGGTGAGACACAGTGCTTGGAAGGTTATGGCTCTGAGAGGGGTCCATAGTAGGCGTGGACGGTTCAGCGGGATACGAAATGCTGTAGGGGCACGGATGACCGAAGATAGTACATATCATAGACGTAGCCGTGAGATTTAGCATGAGATGAGACTGTCTATTGAGACGTGCAGCCCGTCTGTCCCATAGTTGTCAGGATGCATACTTACATGAAGACCGGATTACGGTATGTAGACCAACAGATTCTCGGTCATCACAGAATTCCTTTTTAAATCGGCCCCATGGCCACGGAGCTAATAATTGACGCCTTAGTAATCAACTTTCAAGCCCATGATCAGATAATGGCAAACGCCAAAATAACTGGTTTCGTGGTTACTGCATCGCGAGGCCTGGGCAATGTCAGCCCAATATTGTCCCTCTGGCGATGTCATCGCATTGTCTGTCCTAGCCTGTGCTCACTGTGCAATGCTATCACCCACTTCCAAGCGCCGTCAACACCCAGATGCACCGCGTGTCTGCGTCGGTACTGGTACTATACAGCACTAGGTCGGAGTGCAAAATATCACCGAAGTCTTGTACACATGCTCGAGGCCGCGGTCGCTACAATTACTCAGTATGTATCCCTTCAATATTCGATGTTGCTCATTGACCCTCCCCGTCCACGAAAGGTCTCTAGGTGCGTCTCTTTCTATCTTGCATGCTGTTATGACCACCTGAGGTAAGTTTCGCGTTCTTGAATCCTGCAATTCCGGTGAGTTTGTGCATGACTAGTAGCTCCCTCACTAGACGTCCCTGGACTAGTTTTTTTTGCCTCTGTCTCATGATCCTAACATCTAACGGTCCATAGCACAATCCTTGATCTCTTACTGTGCTTGACCTCATGCCCCGAGACGATTCCCTATCAGTGTCTTCTGCTGTCTGTGTCCTCCGTCGCTCATAGCTCTACTGTCCTCGCTTGTCTTTGACATTATG